AAAGAATGTTTCTAAATGTTTCACTGTTCCCATCCTTCTATAATTCCTATTTTGGCATTTCATGATAACATGGATTATATTTATGATTCACGTATCGTCTGATCTGTATCTGATGATATGACCATTATCTAATAATAAATCAGCTTAAAGATAAAAATGATTTAAAGGACATGAAAGTATAACACACAATTTAAGTATACTCTCAAACCTCTTGGGTTAATAAGACACCCTAAAAGACTTTAAGACCTTGAACAATTTCAACTGCACATCCCAGAGTCCACTAGGAAAAAAAAGGTCATGGCTCACATCTTCAGTAGAATTCCAAAACACAATCTGTCTGCAACACTTAAGAAAAGCAGGAGTTGGCTCTCTGTCCACCATGTCTGAGCGCCCAAGCACACAACACACACACACACAATAAACAAATAAATAAACAATTTTTTTCATCTTTTGAGACCAGGTCTCCCTGTAGCCCCAGCTGTCCTGGAACTCACTACGTAGACGAGGCTGGCCTTGAATCCAGACGTCTGCCTGCCTCTGTCTCCCGAGTGCTGGGATTAAGGGCATGAGCCACCATGCCCGGCAATAAATATTTTTAAAAGGCAAGATTCTACAAAGAAATATCAAGCCCAAGACCAAGCAAATACTATCTGCTGAGATGGAGTTAGGTGACCACATAGGGTAAGCATCAGAAACGACACTTCAAAGACACTCAGCCAAGGAATAAAGGAATACACTCCTATGAAAAGACAGCTGGGAAGAGGAGCTACCAGAGGCTGCAAGGGCAAGACCTTATCCTCCTCCTCCTGCTGCTACTGCCCTCCACCAGCACTGTGCTAGGTGTGGCATGCTGAACCAGACAGGAGAATCTGAGTGGAGAGAGCATGGCACACCTACTGGGAGTGACTGGAGGATACCATGGGAAGCCTGGAGAAGGGCACCAAGGGACAGAGCACACCCTCAAGACCAAGGCAGAAATTCTGGGTTATGGAAAATATACAGTACCTGCTCAGCCAAACAGAGCCCAAGGACCTGGCTGGGAATGTGGAATAAACGACAGAGGGGACAAGAGGCTGAGGTTCCAGCAATGGGGCAGCAGAAAGCCAAGGTGACATGGCTGCGGGGCATTCTGAAGCAGCCCAAAAGCAGATGCTGACTCACAGTCAAGCTGAGCTGAGGTAAGATCTCACACCTCAGTGGGGACTCCAGTTCCCACTGGTCCTGTATTACTCACACAGCCCAGCCTCCCTAAAAATACCTTGGACGAGTGGTCAATGCTTACAGAAAAAGCTCAAAAGAGGCAGAGACTCAGAAAAGGAAAAACCTGGATCCCAGTCCCACCTGCTAACCTCTTCTTCACTCACTAGGAAGATACCTGCCTGGCCACCTTCAAAGGGAGATAATCAACTCCTTCATGATAAATAAGGCTGATAAGAAAAAAATGGTTGAGCAGTGTATAGACAGCGAAACACTCAGAATAGAGACTTTCTCCTGTGTCCTTCAACTTAGATTCCACTCAACCCCAAACACATAATGCTGCAGGTGGGGCATGATGGCCCATGTCTGCTATCCCAGCACTTGGTAGGCTGAGGCAGGACTGCCATGGGTTTGTGGCCAGAGTAAGACCCTATCTCAAAAATCTCACCCCACCCCCAAAATAATAACATTTCAGTATTTTTGTTTGTTTTGAGACAGGGTCTACCTGTAGACCTAGCTGGCCTGGAACTATGTAGACCAGGCTGGCCTCAATTTCACAGTGTCTGAGATTGGCTCTATCTCCCAAGTCCTGGGACTAAAAGGTATGTGCCACCATGCCAGGCCCCATTTCAGTATTTCTCTTTTTTCTTTTTGAGACAGGGTCTCCCTGAAGCCCCAGCTGGCCTGGAACTCACTATGTAGACCAGGGTGGCCTTGAACTCACAGAGATCCTCCTGCCTCTGCCTCCCAAGTGCTGGGATTAAAGGAGTGCACCACCACACTCAGCCATTTCAGTATTTCTTAAGGAAACTAAACTCTGGAGGAAGCAATAGTCAAGCACAGTTTAAGGCAAAACAATCTTCTGCAACTCCAGTTCCAGGGGATCAATGGTCTCTTCTGACCTCTTTGGGCACTGCACCGTTGCACACACTTACATACAAGCAGGCAGAACACTTATTCACATGAAAATTAATTAGGCTGGGATGGTGGCACATGCCTTTAATCCCAGCACTCCACTGGGAAGGATCTCTGTGAGTTTAAGGCCAGCCTGGTCTACACAGCGAGTTCCAGGCCCGCTGAGGATACAGGGAGACCCTGTCTCAAAAAGACCAAAAAAATAAATAAATAATAATTAAATTTTTTAAAACTTAAGTTCTAAATCATCCTCATCTATGAAACAATCCTCCGAATGTGTTACAGAACAGAGTGATAGTACACACTGTAATCCCAAATGATGGGTTCAAGGCCAGCCTGGCAAGACCCTGACTCAAAAAAAAAAAAAAAAAATGTGATACACAGAGCTGTGATTGCTATTTCTGCCTTCTAGGACCAAAATAATTTAGTCTAAGATAAAACATTTGTACTCTGGGCAGCCACAACATAGAGACAATGAAAACCCTATAGGAACGGCCTTATAAAGAAGAGAAAACGAGATCCATACCGCAGGGCTGCAGTATACTTCCATTTCGTCAAAACAGTGAGCCCAACAGTCATCCTCACCTACTTCCCTGGAGCTCCTGGGATCCGAGTGTGAACCTGTGCTGTGGCCTCATGCCTCAGTTCCTAAACAAGCCAAGAGCACTGGGCAGCCATGCTCCAGTCCCAGCTCTGCTACATTCGTGATCTGAATACATTATTAATCAGCCTCATTTCGCTCATCTACTTGTAAAGACAATGCACGTTCCAGCCCCCTGGGTTAGACTCCATCACCTCCTGCCTAAAAAAAATCCAAATTTTGAAACAAGTGATTAGACTGTTGTCTTCCAGAGGCTCTGAGGCTCCTTCTAGGTCTGAATTTGTCTTTTTCATGGTGTTCTTAATTCCCCTGCCTTTTCCCAAATTCCTTTAACCAGCACATAAGGTTATCAACCTGCCTTGCTTCCAGCCCCTACTGCATCAGGTTTGAGACTCTCAAACGTGATCCAGCATGTTCATGCTGCCCTCCCCCCAAAAAAGAAAGAAAATAAAAACCTTTCAATTATTTGGTGGAAAAACACAAAGACCTGGAATGATGAAATTAGGATATAATTACATCAAACACTGCAATATGAAATTTTTAGAAGTCCAACATTCTTTTAACTTTGAGGCAGAATGTCACTAAGTTGCCTAGTCTGGCCTCAAACCCTGCTATGTAGCCCAGATTGGCCTCATATGCCTCCATTCTGCACATGAAGCTGGGCTTCTTAAAAAATATACACACACATATTCTTAAACCATAACAAGCCATCATATACCCACGATGCACAATATTCTGAAAACTGCATGAAAAGACCCTTTCTTTGTTGGCCGCTCCCTCTTCTTCCCCTTGTGAGAACAGGGTCACCAGAGCATCCCTGGCTCCTCCACAAGTGGCTCACTGACCCCTCCCCACTCCCTTAAAACCCACCCTAATTAAATTCGAGTTCCGGAAAAATAACACGCAATAAGGTGTTTCTCACCTTTTTAATGTCTCAGTTTTCCCCTCTCCAGTGCCTAAATTATTTAGATGACCACCAAGGTCATTTCGTTTCTAAATGTTCCACTCATTTGCAAGCTTAAGTTTCTTCCCCACTAAGAGGACGGGACTTGAATTAAAAAAAAAAAAAAGTGCCAACAAGAATATGCTACGACAGCTGTGCAGCAAAGATGAATCCAAAGATCAGATAAAGAGTTCCTGGTTTTACTTTGAATTTCTAGAACTAGTGATGAACATATTTTAAAACTTAACATGTAACAATGAACCTAAGTTCAGGAACCTTGTAATAAGGCATGCGGAGTCCAAACCGCGGAGGCTAGAGATACTGGAGTTAATGCACCAGTCTGGGCCGCAGGAGCTAAAGCACTCCGGACCTGAAGGGAAAAATGTAAAACCAAAATGGAGGAGGGGCCAAGGAAAGAGCTCGGGAGCGAAAACCTCGTGGCTAGTGGCGCGTGGCACGCGTCTCATGGCGCCGTCCAGCCTTCCTGCTCCGCGATTCCCAGCCCGGGACGCACCATCCTGCCTGGCCTGCCTCGCGGAGCCGGAGCTCCCATTGAACTTGGAGGCTGTTAAACAGCAAGGGGAACAAGCAGCCACATCTTAAAAAGGCGGCGAGGGGGAGCGAAGAAAGAACCATACGGGAGGGCTCCACCCTTCCCCACCTGCAGAAAAGACCGGAGGTTAAGCCGGGACATCCCTCCAAGCCTTGCGGATACAACAAAAGAAAACGGACTGCTCCGGGAGTCAGACTCGGTGGCGGCCCCGCGTCCTTAGATCTGACCGGCAAACGACCCGGACGCCAAGGAGCGCCGAGCCAGGACAACTTTTTCGGAAGCTGCTCCCATACCCCCTCCCCACCACCTAAGCAAGAAGCCCCCGCTGTCATCTCATGGATGACTCTACACCGATCCCGCCCTGCCACCGCCAGGTGGGCTCTAGCTTCCACGCGCGCCGCCACGCGTATCCCCGCCACCCTCGCGGACCTCAGGGCCCAGCAGTCCCGGTTCTCTCCGCCCTCGGGGAGGCGGCGCGGCCGGCGGGGGCAGGACAGCATCGGGGGCCCGTGGGGGAGCCCTGGAAGCGCGGACCCCAGCATTGGACTTGCAAAACAATAACCATCCGCCTTCCGCCCATCCCCCACAGGCCCCTAGCCGCGAGTGTGACCACCGCGGGGACTCAGGGAGGAGACCCCCTCGCCCGCCCTCCGCGGCGCTCGAGCCTGCTCGGGACTGTCGGCGCCGGGAAGGGACCGCGCGGGCCACGCGGTGGCGGACTGCTACTGATTCGGCCCGCGGGCGCCAGCCACATGCGCCCCGGGACCCCGGGAGCGCGCCGCCCGCAGTACCTTGCCGCTGGCCGTGCCCCCGCTGACGCCGATCAGGAAGGGCTCTCCGCCGTTGGGCTGCTGGTGGTTCTGCAGGGTCTGCTCGCTGTCCCCGGCCATGGCTCGCGCCGCCCCTCCTCTCGCCGCCCGTGCGGACCGACGCACGCTCCCCGCCCGCGCAGCGATCGCTTGGCGGCCGCTGGAGGTCGAGGCTGGCCCGCCCAGAGCTGAACGAGTTGGCGTCTCCCTGAGGCGCCGGGAACTGTGCTCTGCCCGCCGAGGCCCGAGGGGTTTACATCCCAGGCAGAGGTCAGCGTGATGAGGCTGCTCCAATCCGGGCGGGCTGCGCGCTGCTATTCGCCGAGGAGTCGGGCCCCAGCCTCCGCCCCGCCCGGGTGCCGCCGCCGCTGGGAAAGGTGTGAGCACCACTCCCCTCCCCACCCGCCCGGTTAACCCTTTCCCTCCGGAGACGGGCGGAGACGCTGTTGTCAGCGTTTTCCGGTGCCAAGCTGCCTCCAACTTCAAGAGAGCAGCGACGGGGGAGCAGTTCTGATAATGGAGGAAACAGACTCGGAGGCTGCGGAAGATGAAGTTGGAGCAGGGAGTTCTGCCACGGCCCCTTATCCAGGCCGAAAACTTGTGTTTTAACAAGTGAGGTCTCCTCCCCACCCCACTATACGCCAAAATAGTTTGTCAGCCGCGGTCTTGTAGTTTCCTGTCTTGGAAAACCCCAAGCGCAGTTCTCTTTAGCGGTCCTCGGGTGACCCCCTAAAAGAAGGGTAGCCTGAGAGGATTATTTAAGGGTGCCCCTCTCTGGACTACCAGTGCTCTTCCACACCACAGTAACCCGGATCCCTTGAGAAGTTAGGCCTGGTGGGAGCATTAAAGTAGCAGTGCCATTTTGATTCACTGATACCTTTAATTTACCTCATTTTTTTCAGAAACAGGCAATTCGTTACTTGGTTGGGAAGACAGTACCAAGTAGTGGCTGAGAGGAGTCTTCACCTCTGGGGCCAGATTTCTGCATTCTAAGTCCATAAGCAAGCGTTGCTGTGCCTCAGTGTTCTTATCTGAAGAATGGGAATAATAATGCTGCTCACATGCTAGGAATTTTGTGGGGCTTAAATGAATGTGAGGGTGTTTTGTTTTTTTAGGATCATGTCTGGCGTCCTTGTAGACCCTGTATTACAGTTTGAAGAGAAAAGGCCCCTAAAAGGCCAAACCACAAAGGGAACTTTTGCTGGGCACACCGAGGAAAGTAGTGCACCAGCAACTCCAGTTCCTGCTCTTCGAAACTTGGGACTTCATCCGGGAGCCAAGGGAAGAGCTTAAATTTATAGTGTTTTCTTATAAAATGTACCAAATTGCCTTAACCAAGAAATTGTTTTGAAAAAAAAAAAACTTTAAAGAAAAGAGTATCACCAAATACAAGCATTCTTTTCCTTTTGTTTGGGATTATTTTGTTCTTTTAAGACAGGATCTCACGTAGCCCAGTCAGACCTTGCACATCCTACACGGTTTCTTGATCCTCTCGCCTCCACCTCCCAACTGGTGAGGTTATAGGCACAGTGCCACCATGTCTGGTTTACAAATGTCCTTTTCTCCTTTGAAATGTTTTATGTCACCAACACCAAATCTGAAGTAGCTCAGACAGGAAGCCAGGGTCTGGGGTACCTCCTGGTGTCCAGAGGGGGAGCTCCTGGGAAAGGTTTGCCAGAAATCATCTTACCAAATGATGGAGCCACTGTGGATGGGTTCTCACTGCTGTGGTCTGCCTCTTCTCCCAGAAGCCTTTTCTCTACAAAAGAGATGTAGTATAGTCTTCATGGATTTCTACAGAATTCTTTATAGCCCAGCTTGTGACCTGTTGGGATAATGAGCCCACAAGTTAACATGAGGATACTAGGTAGTTGAGGGAACAGGAAGAGGATAAAAGCATGCTACCTCATAGACTTCCAAAATCTTCATTGGGCTTTTCCCATACTATGCTAACATAGAAATGTTCAAACATATTTGAAAGATCTTCCAATAAACAATATACCTACCACCTAGAGGCCACCATTAGCATTGAAGTAGCCCTGCCTTATTGCATAGCCAGTCATGTACCCATCATCCCTCTTCCCATCAGGACACTTATCCTAGGACTATTATTAGTTTGCCTACTCTGAACTGACTTACACATCTCCTGCTTTTTTTTTTATCTTTTCTAATTACATACCCAACCCCTAGAACAGTTTCTGCATATAGTAGAGCTTCAGTAAATGTTTCTTGGATGAATAAAGAGACAGTACATCCCACTACATTCCCAAGACCCCCTGAGAATGACTAGCAACTAGGATACATTTGATGTATGATTATTGAAGGAATGAATGAATGATTTTGGACAAGGTAAGAAGGCACCCACAAATGAGGATCTTTTTCATCATTTTGAAAGGAAAGATTCCCTTCATTGTAATTGTGAAATTACTTTTTTTTTTTCAAGATAGGGTCTCACTATGTAGCTCTACCTGGCCTGAAACTGGCCCTAAAAACAAGGCTGGCCTCAACCTCACAGAGAACCTCCTGCCTCTGCCTCCTGAGTGATGGGATTAAAGGTATGCACCATCACACCCAACTACTACTTTTATTTTGAATGTTTTGTTTTCTTGGCTGCTGTGTTTTCAGTCTGACTTGTCCTCCCTTAAAATTCGTTCTGACATTTTAATTCCTCATGTGACAGTATTAATAGACCTTGGGACCTTTAAGAAGGAGATTAGGTCATGGGAGCTCTACCTTCAGGAAGGGATTAATGGAGTTTCCACCAGAGTGGGTCAGTTAGTAGTAGTGTGGGTCCTTGGCTCTCTTGCTTCCTCTCACAGTTCTCTTCAGCAGTATATGCCCACCACTCTCACACACCCTAACCATACTATACCCTCCAACCACCATGTTGTGGTGAAGCACAAAATTTATCCTTCACCAGAAACCCACAGATGTTGGGACTATGCTTGGAGGCTTTCCTATTTTCAAATGCTTTCGTAAGAATTTCACAGTCTGCAACTAGACCTGCTGTGTATATTACTTAGTTGAACTTAGTAACTAAGCTCCATACATTTCTTTGCACTTTGCTTAATACTATTAGTAATATTTCACCTCTGTTCATGAGTCAATATCCACAAAAGTGCTTTGAAAATGCCAACTTTCTTTATAAAGATGTAAGGCCTAGTTAGCAGAGGACAGCAGCTGCAGTCTCCACTCAGTTTTTACTTGCCTTCTTTGATTTCCCTTCCCTGTCTAGGCCTGGCTTGCTTGCACAGGAACACATTACCATGTCTGTTTGAAGTATAAGAATACTCTCAGCACAGTGATCTCAATTAGGACTTGAGCATCTCTGCTGTCTATGGAGCAAAGCAAACTCCCTGTGCTGTGTCATCCTCTCTTGAGAGCCTGGTCACAAATCCCATAGCTAGGGATGCTCACATCACATCTGAGACTACTCTGCAGTTACACTGCAGACTCCCAATTAAGTGATTTCAAGCTGTTCTCCTGCCTCCTTCTACTAAGAACAAAAGTATTTTTAATCCAAAATCAGAAAAGATTTAAGAAAATGTATTTTCTTGGTGTCTTGTATTATCTTGTGACCATGCCTTTTTCTTTACTGGATTTCAGTCTGTTCAAGTTCTGTCCCAGTTAAGGGTTGGGTATGAAGTCAGCATGAGCATGCAATTGCAGCTGGAGCCAAAGAACAATAAGCCATTGCTGTTGACGGGCCCTTTGTCTGCCCGCCCTCTCCTGAAGCTCCTCAGAATTGTTCTCCCTCTAGATGTTTCATCAACAATGACCAATTCTCTGTTTGCCTGTTCATCCCGCACCAGAATAGATTGCATCACCCTTCACCATCTGGAGCATTTGAGTCCTCCCTGTTTCCTTTCTAACTGCCTTCTACCTTTTCTTGATCAGCAATTGCTTTGACAAGCCATACATAACTCTTCTGAAAAGATGACCTTCTGATATCAAAGCTATTTCAACATCTACTTCCATGACCTTCATTAGTCGAGCAGTCGGATGCTATTAGGCAAAAAAGCACAGTGCTTGAAAAAAAGGAAAAGAAGAGTGCAGTGTCAGACCTGCAGTAGCAGTACCAATAGCAGCCGCCCCTGGCAGTGTGACTGAAAATGCTAATGCTTGGGCTCCACCCCAGAGTTATGAATCAGGAGCTGTGTGGGTGAAGCCAAGTCTCTCACAAGCTTTCAAATGATTCTTTTGCCCAGTGAAGTTAGAGAGCCATTGGCCCAGCACAGAGATGAAGAGCGGGTAGCCAGAAAACGAGGTTTGTGGTTTTGTATTTATTTCTGATTTTGTTTTGAGACAGGGTCTCAGTCACCCCAAGCTGGCCTTGAAATCACTATGTATCCGAGGATGACCTTGAACTTTGATCACCATGCCTTGTTAAAGCAATTCCGGGTCAGGGTAGGGTTTTGAACTGCATATGCTTAGCAAACACTATTAAGTGCTCTAAGCCCTCAGCCCTGGTTATAGCTTTATAACCTTTGGCAAGTTACTGTGTATAAACCTCAGCACCATTCAATGATAAACTAGCAGGACAGTTGTGAAAACCATTACAAATTAGCACATGTTCATCTCCCTTTCCCTGCTCTGTCATAGCTCTCTGATTTACCACCCAAGTACACCATTTAGGAATTAAGTGTTCCAAAAGTTAAGTACTCCTAATCCCCAAAGGTGCTTTCTAATAAAAATTAAAGCACAGTGTCCTCTAATAAAGAGATGATAAAAATCTGAAGAGCTAAATGTTTAACTTGATTTATGTAACACATCTATGTGTAAGGCATTTGACAGTACCACACTAATGTACAACTTTTTATGTTTTATATATCCATTTAACATTATTGTTTTGGGGGACTGAAGAGATTGCTCAGCAATTAAGAGCACTGACTGCTCTTGCAGAGGACCTAGATTCAAGTCCCAGCACCCACATGACAGCCAACAACCATCCATAACTCCAGTTCCTGGAGATCCAATGCCATCTTCTGACCTCCTTGGTGCACTTACACACATGCAGACAATATACTCAAACACATAAAATTAACTAAAAATTAAAAATAAATTATTGTTTTGTTGGCACTGGCTTAGCAGTTCAGAGCACATACTGGTCTTACTGAAGACCTGAGTTCCATTCCCAGTACCCACACAGGACAACTCACAACCACCTGTAACTCCAGCCCCAGGGGATCTGACACTCTCTTCTGGCCTTCATGTGCACAAACCCACACACAGACACACATATATACACATGATTAAAAAATAAAATATGAACTGGAGAGATGGCTCAGCAG